AACCGATAAGAAGGTGGCTAAACATCCCTACCCGTACAACTATCAAATTGATTAATTTTTAATTTATTGTGTCTTTAGATTGAATGATGGCTAGAAGTTATTTCAATAAAATTAAAATAAAGTGCAATCAAATTTGTCAAAAATACAAATTTAAGATCATTTATTTTGTTTGAATTATTTAAACAAATATTTCCATAAAAAGCTATACAATTATTTACACAGTTAATTGTTTATTTAAATTGATCAATTCAGGATAAAGTGAAAAAATGTAAGTTAAATAAAAAGTAATAGGTTAGTTTTCAATAACAAACTCCAGAATTTTATTTCGACTTAAATATTTTTCAATTTATATAAATATATAAAAGTAAATCATCATTTTGATCATGTAAACTTTTTTTATCTAAAATTTTCAATCATTATTTTTTTTAATATAAGATATATAATTTTAGTTTTAATAAAACATCGGAAAAAAAACCTCTAATACAGAGATCAGTAACTATCTCTTTTCATTTTTCAAATATGCCTTTAATATTCGGTCTGTACAATTATACACTTTAGCAAAAATATTAATTCATAGAATAACACATTAAAAGTGTGCTTATTTAAATTTCAATGTTAACTATTCAGATTTTACATAATACTTACACTTAATTATAAGGGAAAATGCTTAGGGCATTGGTTAATAAATTAAAATTAGAAAATTTTCATTAAAAAATGCATCTACATATTCTCTCTTGAACTTTATTTTAGATTTTAGTAAAAAAAAAAATCGACATATTGATTCTTGAATAGGTGTCCTTATAAATATAATATATATTTTTTCACAGAAGATATATATAAAGTAACTAGTTAAAAGGTCATTATTTCTTTTATGTATGCATAATTTTCTCATTTTTACCATTTAAAAGAAGTAATGTCTTGTCTCGATTATTTCTTTTTTCCTTTTTGGCCCTTGCGCTTGGTTTTTAATAATGAGTCCAAATCTTTATAAGTTACCAAGAAAAAAGATATATTATGTGTCTATATTCATCTAAAAAAAATTGAGATAATAAAAAATTAAATAATATCCCTAAAAAATTAAATAATAGTTGATAGTTTGAAATTGAAGAATTCCAATGATTTAAGATAATTTTAAATATAAAATAGTCTAACATAGTGTTTGATTTGTAGAAAATGAAAGGAGAAATTTTTATAAAAAGAAAATAATTGTTTGGTTCAATTTTTAAAATGAGAGAAAAACAAAATTCCTCTTCTTATAATTTTAGCTCTCCAAATTGAAAGAGAGGGGAGAAATTTAAAAACTTTTTAATATAATGTCTAAAATATCTTTCTTTATATTTTTAAAAAAGATATAATGATAAATTGGTTTTAAAATATCCCTTTCTCTCCTTTCTTTCTATTAAGCAAATAAAATTTCTAACTCTCCTTCCCTTCTCATCCCTTCCTTTTCCTTCTTCCATTAAAATCTTTTCTCACTCCTTACATCCTTTGAACCAAACCAACTCTAAAGAAATGTGTAGACAAAAAATAAAAAAAGATATCCATGCATAAAATCCACATATAGGTCCCCTCGCTACTCATATATAGGATGACCTACAGTTCACTTTGATCCAATCCTTATCCAAATAATGGAAGAGATTCGGCAGGAAAATTGGTCCTCCGATATGGTAATAGCAATTACAATCATAATACATATCATGCATGCATAATATATAATATCATAAAATTGAGTCTTCTTTAGATATGACATATGTCTAGTTGTACTAGAAATATTTGTTGGGCTTGATTATTATTGTTCTTCAAAATTGTTCCTAGGAAATGGATGATCATGAGGTGAATGAATGTTTGTGCCACGCGAACCCCTTTGATGAAGAGTTCCTGAGAGAGATTCTGCCGCAGCCACAAGAGGCCCTTGTTACTACGCCAACCTCATCTCAATATGCTGAAGATCACAAGCCAATTACCTCATCTGCAACCACTTATATTCTGTCTTTCGAAAAATCCGCTGCATTGTTACCAGCTGATCCAGATTCTTGCTCTGCATGGAAAGAGAACTCGCAATCCCAATTGCTCAAAGAAATCTTGCCCTTGCCCTCATCGAGGGTCAACCAAGGAACCAAGAAGACTCGAAGCGCTTCTGAGTCATTAGATCACCTAATGTCTGAGAGAAATAGGAGACAGGAGCTCACAAGGAAGTTCATAGCACTTGCAGCCACTATCCCTGGCTTGAAGAAGGTCAGTTTTCCACCTCTTTTACTCAAATGATCGAAAATTTCACATCAACTAGTCATTAGATGAAAGTAACTTATATAAATAAAGGATAATTTTTATCTTTGAGATTGATTTTGTAACGTTGAATTAGATACTCAAATTTTACCTCACCCTTATATATTTAAAGGATTTTGGAATTATTTTTATTTTATTTTTAAAATATGTGAACATTTTTGATTTAGAATTGTTTGATTTTTAACATGTTTATTTATTTTTTCATTTTAACATATATTTTTTAAAATTCTTAATATATATACAAAATGTTTAGATTTCAATAAGAATATTTTTTATATATTATGAGTCATGATAAATTAATTTTTTTTTCATTTATGTATAAATTATAAAGAGCAAATTGAATAAGAAATTCACAAAATTTCTCTCAATTTCAACAAATAAAATTTTATTATATTTTTCTTAAAATCATTTTGATTTCTACAAAATGATTTGAAACACTTGGAATAAGTTAATTAATTACTTAAAATAAAATAATAAAAAGTAAAAGAAAAAGAAAAAAATTCACACGTCATTTTTATTAATTTAAAAAATTAATCATCCCAATTTACAAGGGCGTCATAAAATAATTTCCAAAGAAGATTCAATAAACGCAATGATCATAATTCATTTGCCTTTCGAAAAGTATACCTCAGTTCACATTTGAATAAAGTTCTAAAACTAGAAAGTGGAGACCACAGTAAGGGGCAACTTTGAATTACGCGAGGATGCAAGAAAACGTCCAGTTGCATAATTTGCTGAAACAAAGAGTTGTCATAAATCAACTGAGCTAGTGTAAACGAGACTCCGAATCTACTTGCGATGAAGTATCAAATCAGTAAGGAAGGTGAAGTACAAATAAGGGTGGAAGACAAACTTGTTCATGAAGACGTGGATGTTGACATAAGCTTGGTGTGTGTGAAAGTGAAACCATGTGCAGAAGAGAAGAGTACCACGTGGAATGCATATGCATGATCAGTTTTAAGTTTTAATGATTAACACTTAAATTTTTGAAATTTTACATGTGTGTAGATGGACAAGGCCCACGTACTAAGAGAAGCAATCAATTACGTGAAACAACTTCAAGAACGTGTAGACGAGTTAGAAGAAGATATTCAGAAGAATGATGTTGAATCAGCGATAACCATAACAAAATCTCATCTTTGCGTTGATGATAAATGCAATGATTTAGCACTTGTTGAAGTTGAAGCCAGAGTCTTGGGGAAGGAGGTGTTAATCAAAATTCACTGTGCCAAACAAAAGGGAGTTTTGCTTAAAATAATGTCTCAGCTTGAACGCCTTCATCTCTACATATCCACTAGCAATGTCTTGCCATTTGGGAATACCCTTGACATCACCATTATTGCTCAGGTAAATTATCAAACTAAATAAAGAATTCAACTCAAAGTTTTCTACCTAAATTGAATATTTTGATACCGCTATATGTATATATGTATATTGCAGATGGGTGAGAAATACAAGTTGGTAATGAAGGATCTAGTGAAAGAATTGAGACAAGTGGCTATGAATGAGGCCATGTGATGCGAGCTAGCGTATCAACATGTCCATGAATTTTATGATGAGGTCATGTTAGTTTAAGGAATTGATAATGAGATTTTATTATAATTAAAGCCCTTTCTACTCAATATAGCTTGTTTTGTTTTGTTTTCGTATGTTGAGTCAATAAAAATTATGTTCGCTCGGCTTATATATACCATGTTTTATTATGATATCATAGTCTTGGTCGACTTGGACAAGGATCATCAAATGATCTGGGAGGGTATTTACAATCCATATATAACAATAATAAAAGGATAACTTATATTTTTCATTCTTTATGAAATTTTATTTGGTCAGGTGGGGTTTGAGTGTACATATATATAAAATCCTCTTCTACAACTTGTGAGAGATTTAGAATCACCGGTATGACTCCATTTCTAGTAACCCAATTGGACATAGATTTCTCCATTAAAATAAAAAATAAAAAAAAAGAAGAGAAAGTTGAACAACTTGTAACATCTTTACACGTCCATAAAAAGATAGCTTTTACTACCAATTTGTTATTTTTTTTTTTTTTAAAAAAAAGACATATTTTATGTGGAGAAACTTATTAAAATTTTATGTGTTCTTTATATATAAAGTTAAAGCGTAACACAAAATAAAAAAAAATAGCAGTATTGCAATTTTAAAATTAAATGATATCTTACTTTCACATAATGCTATATGTATCTTAATTATAAACAATAATCATTAGTTTTAAAATTTTTCAAGATTAAATATCTTTTATACTCTTTGTTTATTGTTAATTATATTTTCTATGCATTTACTCATAACTAACATTAAATATGACAATCATTTAAAGAAAAGAGTATATACCAATATTTGTTGGTTGAGTTGATGTTGTGGTTGGTCATCAAGCCTCAAAGTCTTGAATGAGTTTTGAATTTAATAAAAAAAATGATACTTAGAGAAATAACCTTAATGCAGTCAAGATTTCAAAAGAAGTTAGTTTTTGACGAAATTGGTGGATATTCCTATCAATATTATGATACAAAAAAAAAAAAAAAAGAGTATATTTAGAATAAAATATAAATTTATGAAAAAATTAATTAAAAGTAATTATATTAATTATTTTTCTTCATCTTGATGATTTGTCCTATATTACTTATAATTAGAACTATAGCTAATATTTAGCTAAAAACAAAAGGAACAAAATTTCTCCTCATTTTATTTTTACCATCCAATAATACTGGATGGGTTTGATAGATTTAAGTATATATAATATCTATAAAAGAAATAATTTCTTCTTTACTTGTTATAAAATACAATTTATGAGAAATTGATTATCTTTTTTTAAGATATTTTAAAATATTTATAAAGCATTAATATTAATTTTCATTTATTATCCCTATTAAAAGTTATGAGAATATTTTTTTTCTCATATTTATCATTTTATTAATTTTTTGTAATTTATTTATCTCTTATGAAAAGTTAATTACAAGTAAAGGAGGTCAAATTGATAAATTATAGTTTTATTTTATAAAATAAATAAAATCAATTAATTTAATTATTAATATTGATCTAACTAATTTAATTAAAAGTGTTTTATAATAAAGATTAAAAAGATTATAAAGTGTTACTTATGTTTTGACATTCAAAATCACGGTAAATTAGTTTTTAAAATAATTTTTCTCTGTTAAAGATTTTCCTCTCCCTTCATCTTAATAAAAATCTCTCTCCTTTTTTTTTTCCATAACTATCTTTTTAACCAATAAGTCCTAAATAATAAAAGAAAAGTGTTACACCGACTCAATTATATATGTCCATTTTTTTTAAATTAAAAAGAGTACAAAGAATACTCTAACCTATTACAAGATATTCAAAGACATAATTAAAATTCAAAATCAAAACAGAAATTATGAGAAACATAAACCCAAATTATAATACCAATTAATGTAACTAAAAGAACAACCAAAGATAGAACTAGTAATCCATTTTCATGAACGTAGTTAAATACTAACAATAATATCCTTCATATCCATTTATCCTCTTATGTTTAAACTAAGAATAATATCAAATTATAATTTTTTTTACGTTAAATCAATTTACTGAAATATACAATTTTCAGTGTTCGATCGGAAGAACTTTCGAAGGATTAAACATTTTTCATAATAAAAATAATATCTTTATCCATAGTTGAACAATATTCTAAGAGCTTAGTTTGCAACCCCGGACTACGTGGGAGGCGTGTCAGCCTTAGTTTAAATACCGGGGGTTGCTACTGTACCCCTAATAAATGAGAGGTTTTGGTACTGTATCTGATGTGTATGTACACATCATTTAAATGTCATGTCAGTCTTTTAAATAAAAATTATTTTATATTTAAATTTTTATATTATTTATTTTTAAATTTTTATTAATATTTTTATAATTATATCATAGTAATTCTTGTCTTCGTACACCGTGATCTCTATCGTTCTCCTCCTCCCCTCCGTCTCCCTCCTACGTAATGTTTATTTTTATACATACTTATTTTTAATGTAAAATTATAGACACAAATTTGTAATATAATTAATAAAAAAGTAATATATAACAATTGTTATATATTTATTTCATATCTTTATATTCCAAAATAATAGTTATTATATTACAAAATTTTAATTTACATATATTAAAATATTATATAAAAATAAAATATTTCAATAAATTACGCAACGCATGAATCTATATCTAATTATAAAGAAAAATTAAAAATTATAATATGACCAAAAGGAGGCAAACTAGATATTGAGATTTGTAAAAAGGCCACAATGGCTAATATCATATTCGGGGCAAACAACATAAGCAAATTCTTATAAACTTGAATTTTTGCGAATACTAAAGGAGTATCATTTGTACGAAACTAATTTCTTTTTTCCTGTATTCTTTGTTATGCTTTCTGAATTATAAAAAAGAAATATACTCTAACATTTTAAAATAACAAAAAGAAAATCTTAAAAACTATCTATTCTCAAATTACAGATTTAGACATATATTATTATAAAAATAAGAAGTTGTTGTGTTGTGTGTCGTGTTTTATGATTGTGGGGGAGTCAGTTGATATGAATAGGAATAGATAGGTTTTTGGTATTGGGATTTGAATGTAGGGTAAAGGATGAGGCGAAAGGGCGTGGGAGTGAAGAGTTGGATGGTGGTGTCGGAGACAGGGCCTGCACACCTTGAGGATGTCGGGAAACTGTCCATAATGCGGCGAACAGGGTTGCCGGCGCGTGACCTTAGGGTCCTCGATCCCATGCTTTCTCACTCTTCTTCCATCCTCGGACGCGAAAGAGCCATTGTCGTTAACTTAGAACACGTCAAAGCCATCATCACTGCCTCTGAGGTCCTCATCATCAACTCCTCCAACCCTTTCTTTCAAACCTTCCTTCAAGATCTTCACACCCGTCTCACTAATCAAACTCCCTCCCCGGTATGTTACTTAATTAAAGATTCAAGATATATATAATCTAGGTGTAATGTTTCTTTTTTATCAATGGACATGATATTATTTTAAGATTTTCACGTCAACCTCCGGTATCTTTGGTTATATAATCTAACGTGCATGAAATGAAATCATAAATTATCAGTTTTAAGATGTGAAAATATCTCTAGTCTTAGATTGTACGTACCTGATTATGCATGCATGCATGCATGGTAGTGAATTTTTTTGTTCCACAGAGGAGCAATGACATGGATGGTAAAGATTCGTTGCAAGGTGGTAAAGGTTCCGGAAACGGTTCACCTGTGAGAATATCTGAGGACTCTGTTGCATTTCACGTAAGAGCGGATAGCTCTAAAATCAATGCAGAGGTTGTAACGGGAAAACCAGCTCCTAAGCAGTTACCTTTTGAGTTCAGAGCACTTGAAACGTGTATTGAATCTGCTTGTAGGTGCCTTGAATCTGAGGTTTGTACTAACTTATTTGGCTCATTTATAAAAGAGACATGATACATATAGAACAACAATTTGTCAAACATCAATTTTTTTTTTCTCATTTATTGCATTTCAAATTTCTTTCCCTTTTAGTTATACAAATTGTTAATACCATGTTTTTTTATATAATTATATTTAGAACATATTTGAATACAAATTTAGAAGAATTTTTAGTTTTCTTATTGAAAAAAACATATTTTTATTTTCAATAAAAAAAAATTTAAAATCTGTTTAAATTTATATTCAAAAGAGTCTTACTCTATGTCAGAATAGGTTATTAGTCAAAAATTTTAATAGGTGAAAAATGTTCAATGGATACATTAATCTTATTGTGCGTATGTGAGAATAACTTTCCTTTCTTTATCTTTAACATGATTTTTTCTTTATGCTTACAAGCTCTATGCCTTGTGTCTATATCAGACTTCAACATTGGAGAAAGAGGCTTACCCAGCTTTAGATGAGTTGACCTCTCAACTGAGCACACTCAATCTTGAACGTGTAAGACAGATCAAGAGTCGTTTGGTTGCACTTTCCGGTCGTGTGCAGAAGGTATATAATATTCATGGCAAAACACCTGTCCCCTGCATGAAAACTTCTCGACTTTATATATAAGAATTCTGGAAAATTAATCATCTTGTAGAGTACACAACTATGAGCTACTAAGGGTGTTATTATTCCTTCATTTGTAACCACTAAGCATTTACCATTGTTATTGGTATGTGTTACTCTATTAAATAGAGAACTAACTCATGTATTGTAAGGCAAAGTAATAGAATTCCTCTATGTCTTGTATTATTCCTTATTTTCAACTAGAATACTTTTGCTAAACCCCATGTGGATGCAGAGTTGGACGATTCAGGGGTAACAGTTTATTCATGGGATCCCTTTTTCCATTTTTAGGATTCCATAATATTTTGTATTCACTAATCTAGCACGCTTGTGCAAATTGGATTATAGTATTATCTACTAACCGTGCCATTTCACTCTTCTTAAATAGATGCCAACATGTACCAAATCTAAGCAAGTCTTGAAGTTGTTCAATACCTCAAAGAATATGTAGTACCATTTTGTGTTTCACCGTGGCTTACAGTGCAGCCTTCTGCAAATGCTGATTGTTATGGATTTCATTTTGCAAATGCACTTGTGAGCAAGTGTTCTGGTTCCATTACCCTGTTTTGTTCTCAATTCAATTTACTCAATAAATTCTCCACTAAGAAAATGAAGAGTTGGCTGGTCTTGCAAGTTTAATCTAGAAGAAATTAAGAAAACATTTTGTTGCTTCTGTGTTGTTGTCAAGGATATTTCTTGTTAGAACATAAAGTCTATATTGTGATTTGTGAACATGAAAATGTGAAATCCCAAAAAGAATCAAGATGATTAGATATGTGGGTTCTTAATTTTAGTTCGAATTTACTATATGAGCATATTTTTGCACCAAAATGGACAACATGCCTGGGGATATTTTGATTAATTGTTTAATAAATTTATGTTGTTCTCACAAAAATAAAATTAAAAAAATAACTGATTCTAATCTTGAATTTTACAGATAGCCGATGAATTAGAACATTTGTTGGACGATGATAATGACATGGCTGAAATGTACTTGACACAAAAGCTTAATGGTCGTTTAATGGAGCAGGCATCATTTAAAGAAGGGAACAATTACGAATTTGAAGAGAACGATCAAAGGTAAAAAAAACATTAATGTTTGTCTATTTAATAACAGCTATATTTTGACAAATAAGACTCAAGTTAATTCCACGACTATGAGTTCACAATGGTTGCTTTTGTCTTTAGTGATGAATCATATTCGGAAAGGTTTGACAAATTCCCTTATCATAAACTTGATGTTGAGGAATTGGAAATGCTTCTAGAAGCATATTTTGCACAGACTAATGGAATCTTGCAAAGATTGTCTAGTGTGAGTATCTCCTGAACTCTTGTATCCTTTTGAATATAACGATGAAGATTCCTGTGTGTTTTACATGTACTATTTCTCAATGTTTATTATGTATTGTGCTGCATCAATTATATCATTAAAAAAATTAGCTAAATTTGTTCTCTGAAATACTCACTGACGCATGTGTTTGTGACATGATTAAGTTGAGTGAGTACGTGGATGACACAGAGGACTACATCAACATAATGTTGGATGATAAGCAAAATCAGCTTCTGCAGGTAGGAATAACATTCAACACCCTAAGCATGATACTCAATGCCGGTATTGTGGTCGTAGGATTGTTTGGCATGAATATTCACATCGAACTCTTTGATAGTACACCTCGTCAATTTTGGGCCACAACTTATGGTACATTGGGAGGATGCATATTTCTTTTCCTTGTATGTTTATGGTGGGGGAAGAAAAGATACTTACTCTCTCAATAGAGATTACTTGTAATCACTTTACGAATTTATGAGTAAACTATATTATAGTGAGAAATTCGAGTGTTATTTATTAGTCATTAACTCACTAACACATTCTTAATTTAGTTCATGTATACTTGGTGTATTCTTAATTTAGTCTTAATATATAGAGAATAAATTAATAATGCGTTACACATAAGGATCAAATTGAAAATGTGTTATATATGTATACAAATCAAATAAATGATATATAAGAGGATAAAAAGTCTTCTAAAATAAAACAGAGGATCAATAATGACAAAAAAAATAGTAATATTTGCACTTATAAAATTAATTTAATACTTTTTTTATAAGGATCAGATTAAGATTTTATGACACATAGGAAATAAATTATATGTTTAAACTTTTTAAAATGTTATTTCATCTAGCTTTTCTTTAAAAAGTTACTTTTCCTTCTTTTCTTTTGTAAAAATTAAGCTCATTATTTTTTATTAACTTATCTAAATGTATTTGTCCCCCATCTCTTTTTAAAGAGAACAAAAACAATTGTTGGGTAAAATATTATCTAAATTTTTAAGAATCCCCATTTTATGGATAATTGTACACGGAAAATTTCATTAGAGTTCGTGCGTTGTTAACTTTAAAGACAAATCATGAGTTGTTTATTATTATTATTATTATTATTATTATTATTATTATTATTTTATATTATTCACCTATCAAAATTAAAATTTTACTTTAGTAATATACATCGACTTTAAATGTTAAATTTTACTATACAAGTTACTAAGATAAAAATTTAATCTACTCTAATATTTATAAAATAAAATACACTATTTAGTTAACAAGACTCGGTTTCTTCATTTTCTTAATAAGATATTCTGAATTTGTAATTAAATTGTAGTCATAAAATATATATTGGTAACATGATGTATGTATGATCATCTTATATATATTTTTAGTTCATTTATATTTTATAATTAACTTATTTTTTAATACATTATATAATATTAAAAACATATTTAAAATTTATTTTAATCAATATTTAATAATTAATCAACTTCCTTTTCATTTATGAATCTAATAAAATATCCATTGGTATTTATTCGAAGTATAGCAATAAGTTAAAAATTGGCCAACTGTCTTAATTTATTCAAGATGTTGGTGAAATACAATATTTACATTTAGAATTAATTGGGTTTCTGTCTTGAATCATGAAAAGGTAATAAATCAGTATTTTACCTTGTCCTAATAGAAAATAAAAAATCTATTATATATTAGAAAATAATATAAAACTTAGAATGCAACGATTTCAAAGTTTAAGATGTATCCTCACAAATAGTTTAAGATATTACTTTATTTTTTGGTGCAAGTAAAAGACGTATTCCTTAAAATAGGAAGTGCTCATCTCGGTATCTATAATTCCTGCCAGGTGATCGCATTTTTTCGGATATCAATCTTCAGAATTTGTACTCAGTTAGAAATCTTTTTATTTACAATTCTAAACAGATACTTACACTTGAGTTTCATACGGGGAAAAAAATTCCAGTGAAAACATGTCAACTGTGGATCCACGTGTAGTTTCTATAAATTTGTGAATATTATTATTATATTAACATGATACAGGTAAATGCAGTCCATAAAAGGAATTATCCATTCTTCTGTTATGCAGCTCAGAGCCACTAGTTAGTAGTTGACGAGGATTCTTTTGGTTTGTCAAAGACAGTCCCTTCTTTAATCTCATCTGTAACGGGTAGCTGTTCTTCCATCTTCCCACCCTCAAGACAAACCATGAGATCTCTAAGCTGAACAGTTCAAGAATGTATCAAACATCAGTTCGATCAGTTTTGAATGCACATTATAACTCAAAGAAAAAGAGAAATAAGCAAAACGATATGCTGCACCTGCTTTTCCAGATCCACTACTCTATCATCCATCAGTCTCGTAACTTTTTTCTCCCTGGAAAAAAAAGTACATCACACATCAGTTTACAAACCGTTGGACCAAATTTGCAATTACTTCAGTTCAATAAATGGATATCCATAGCAATTATGAAGTCAAGAAAACGAATATCCCTTGAAATTCCAAGCGCACATTAAAGAAGCAACTGCAGAGCGCAGACCATTGGTTTTATTGGACACAAGACATCTTTATGCCATATTCTATTTTGAGAAAAAAACATATCTTCAATAAGAAATAAAGGATAGAAGTATACCTCTCTTCAATCTCCAGTAACTTTGTTTTCCAAATCTCCTCATTTTTCACAAGATTCTCATTAAGCTGCAGATACAGACACAACATAAACATTGTTTGCAACAAAATTTCCTGTTTATGATATATATTATTGAGACAACAGAGAAGCCTATGGCATGGTTATAATTTATACGACATATTACTAGAATTCTACAAAAGAGCATTCCCAAGAGTGGATTACAACTTACATCATCCAGAAATTTCTTCTCTTTCTTACATCTGTCAATCTTGGTCTGAATCTTCTGCTGTTTAAGACTGATAGTCTTCTGAACCGCTTTGGAAATTTTTCTTTCAGATTCTTCTTTTACTTCTTGTAATAAGGATTCAAAATACTACAATTCAATTAATACAAAAAAGGTTAATCAATATAAGTTGTAAAATTTTAATGTGTTTATACTAAACAGGAGGCAATGTTGGCAGATTCACTGCATATGACAAGTGGAGTACACTTACTAATTTTTGGTTTTCAAGTTGAGTAGCAAGCAACTCATTGTACTCGTTCACAATCTGTAAAAGAAAATACATTTATACAATGTATGAAAGATTAAAACTCCTATTAAAGATACATAAATCTAAGAAATGAGCAAATTATTAAACAAGTCTTGCAACATTACAGCTTCAACTTTACTATTAAGCATAGCCTCGCTTATGGCATTATCTTCACAGCTGCAACTTCCGCATCCTTTGTCTGCATGCGCACACTGAGCGTTCAGCTCAACCAACTTACCATCAGTTTTGGACTGAATAAGTCTATGAACGTAGTTGTCTCCCACGTAATCCCACACACGTTTGGTTTCCACTTCAAGGGAATAGCAATGCTGTGTCTCTTTCCAGTGTATTATAGCATGTCCCCCCTTGTATCTGGATCAAGATTTTCTTAGGCACTCCAGAAGATTCATACGGTTGCAATCAAATACATATAAAAAAAAGAAAGAAAGAAAGAACAAAACAAGGGTTGATAATGATGGACAAAATATGTGAGTCTCACCTTCCGCATCCAACATGGCCACATATAACACATATCCAGAGGTTATCAGTGGTTTGACAAACAAAACAGATAGATTTTTCAGCTTGCTGCTGGCAATAGCGGCATACCTGAAAGAATAAGTGGGGGTTCAAGTAAATACTCAATTAACTAATAGGCTGATCCAAAAATGAAGAGCTAGGAAAGCCATTTGAAGAAAACAAAAAATTGGAAAGCATGTGAGTTTTGTATGAGTAATAGATGGAACCAAAGTCCTGTGTGACTGCTAGGCATCCACATTCCACACCCGTGAAATGCAAGCATAGAAAGACAGAGGGAATGGAAATACTTACAGGACAAGAAGAATCTGCCCATTTTGAAATACAGGAGCAATGGAAAGAATGATTGCAAATGGTAGTAAGAATTCCACTAGTGTCCTGATCTAATCGCTCTGCAATAAGTGATAAATTAGTAGTGGTAGAGTTGAAGATGTAAAAGGAAGGGAAAAGGATGTACCAAGGCAAACAGGACAAGTAGGCTGTTCGGTGGAAGTGGCATTGGAGGGTTGTGCATGTTCAATGGAGCCAGTGTACTGGACGTCCAATGTGAAAAGAACACGGCAAACCTCAACCTGTGGAAATGGAAAGGGAAAAGATTAAAAGAAAATGATAAGATAAAAAGAAAAGGAAAAGGAAAAGGAAAAGGAAAGGAAAGGAGAACCTCGAGAGAAGAGAAACGACGGGCGTTGTAGTGGTTGTAGAAGGCGTCGGTGGAGTCCTGGTGGTCGAAGCGAATCAAGACACTGTACTGATCCTCCATTCCATCCATTCTCACAATGCGCATCTCAAGCATGTGCTGAATGAAGGAACCGCAGAACTGGCAGAAATCGGCATAGGTCATGTGATTAGGAACGCCCACAACGCAGACCAGAGGCTTTCGTCCAACGGGAAGAGTGGAACGGGTTTCATGGGGGAAGAGATGCATCAGGCCCCGGGTCTCCTCGATTCTAGGGTTTCCAGAAGAGAAATTGAACAAGGACTTCGACGACCACGTACCCTCCTCCTCCTCTTCAATCGCTGCGCTTGAAGTTGAACTCCACATCTTCTTCACTATCACCTCTCAACTCATTCCCCCTTTCCTTAAACCATCACCTCCCACTCCCACTCCCACCCAATTCATCTTTCAATTATTAACCTTACACCTCTTTAATTAAATAAAATATTCCATTTTAATCACTTTTAACTGTTATTTAAACTACTTTAAAAATTGTTTATTTTAAAATTAGAGAAATCAAAATAATACAAAAAATATATATTGAGAGATTAATATCGAGATTCTTAAATTTTAAAGGACTGAAAAGTATTTTACCTAAAATAAACAGATTAATTAAAGTAAAATTAGCGATAACATTTATATTTAGAAAAAGTAAAATAAAAACTTTCCGTAAAATTCTCTAAAATGTTTAAACTCCATTCATACTTAATCCCAAACGTGTAGTTCAGCGATACGAGTTGATTCACGTTTAAGCAAGGTCAGACATTCGAATCCTGCCTTGTGTATGTAGTCGCGTTAAATCTTGAAACCAGTTATCTCACCCTTTGAGGTAGAGCTGTCAAAACGGGTCAAGCCGGCCCACTTTAGCCCACCTTAAAAACGGGTCAACCCAACCCAGCCCACTTTTGATTTTATCAAAAATTTTCTGGCCCGGCCCGGCCCCCCACAAGTTGGTGGGTCAAACGGGCCAGCCCACCAACCCACCAAAAAATTAAAAAAAAAACCAACAAAATTTAAAATATATCATCGGTTATTAAATCTTTTTTTGTTTTTTTAGTTCTTAATTAGTTTCGTTAAAACATCCATTATAATACTTGATGTAATTTTAATTTAGTTTTAATGTAATATACATCATTCAACGTAGGTAAAAAACTAAAAATGCAAAATATATGGATTATTTGGGCTTACGTAACATTGGTAACAATGTGAAGGCCAATTCTATTTGAGCCCAAACCCAATCCATTATTAAAACTTAAAAGAACAAAACCCTACACAGTACACACGTAAGTGACAGTAACACACTCTATCAATCTCTCATCCCCAAAGCGGCAAAGCATGTTGTTGCAGACTTGCAGGCAACGAGAGAAAAGTTGAAGCGACTAAAGCAAAAGTAAAATAGACACATAAAAACATTATATTTTGGAAGAGAAGAAAAGGAGAGAGCACTGAAGAAGTCGTCCTCTGTGAAGTTCGTGAGACGCACAACGAGTTCCCTTTGATTCTTTGTGACGACAACACATTCCTAATTTTGAAGTTGAAGCTGTTGCCTATTGGTCTTCCTCCAAGCGGAACCTGCAGAGCGGGGCAGTAGGCGTGGAGGTGAAGCCGTGGAGGGCGATTTGTATTTTGTTCCTTGCTAGAATAGAGTTTTCAGTCTTTTGAGTTTTGACGGTTTTGTTTTGAAATTAGAGTTTGGTGTGTGCGTGTCTTACTGTATTGTCTGTTGCAAGAAAAAAAAAATAAAAAATAGGTGGGCTGTTGGGCTGCCCGGCCCACCACGAGTTCAGTTCAAGTGTGGTGGGCCAGGTAAAAATGGGTCGAGTTTAAATTTACCTACTTACTATAAATATTTCATTTATTTTGGCCCGGCCCGTTTTTAAGGTGAGCCGAGTTGGTCCACGGGCCATAACTCATTTTGACGGCTTTTTGAGGTGCTTCTAACCTAGTAAGGAAATTAGGCACTACTATCAGCGGTGGATACTTGATGGGAAAACCCAAAAAAACTCCATTTTGTGTATTCAGATTTCCTCTTGGGACTACTTGAGCCCACGCGACAGGGATATCCACGGCCATGGCTGATTCACGTACGCTTAAGATAATTTATTAAAACTAGCATGAGGATATTTCGACTAGGGGTGTGCAAAAAAACCGAACCGAACCGAACCATTTAGTGAAGAGTTGGATGGTGGTGTCGGAGACAGGGCCTGCACACCTTGAGGATGTCGGGAAACTGTCCATAATGCGGCGAACAGGGTTGCCGGCGCGTGACCTTAGGGTCCTCGATCCCATGCTTTCTCACTCTTCTTCCATCCTCGGACGCGAAAGAGCCATTGTCGTTAACTTAGAACACGTCAAAGCCATCATCACTGCCTCTGAGGTCCTCATCATCAACTCCTCCAACCCTTTCTTTCAAACCTTCCTTCAAGATCTTCACACCCGTCTCACTAATCAAACTCCCTCCCCGGTATGTTACTTAATTAAAGATTCAAGATATATATAATCTAGGTGTAATGTTTCTTTTTTATCAATGGACATGATATTATTTTAAGATTTTCACGTCAACCTCCGGTATCTTTGGTTATATAATCTAACGTGCATGAAATGAAATCATAAATTATCAGTTTTAAGATGTGAAAATATCTCTAGTCTTAGATTGTACGTACCTGATTATGCATGCATGCATGCATGGTAGTGAATTTTTTTGTTCCACAGAGGAGCAATGACATGGATGGTAAAGATTCGTTGCAAGGTGGTAAAGGTTCCGGAAACGGTTCACCTGTGAGAATATCTGAGGACTCTGTTGCATTTCACGTAAGAGCGGATAGCTCTAAAATCAATGCAGAGGTTGTAACGGGAAAACCAGCTCCTAAGCAGTTACCTTTTGAGTTCAGAGCACTTGAAACGTGTATTGAATCTGCTTGTAGGTGCCTTGAATCTGAGGTTTGTACTAACTTATTTGGCTCATTTATAAAAGAGACATGATACATATAGAACAACAATTTGTCAAACATCAATTTTTTTTTTCTCATTTATTGCATTTCAAATTTCTTTCCCTTTTAGTTATACAAATTGTTAATACCATGTTTTTTTATATAATTATATTTAGAACATATTTGAATACAAATTTAGAAGAATTTTTAGTTTTCTTATTGAAAAAAACATATTTTTATTTTCAATAAAAAAAAATTTAAAATCTGTTTAAATTTATATTCAAAAGAGTCTTACTCTATGTCAGAATAGGTTATTAGTCAAAAATTTTAATAGGTGAAAAATGTTCAATGGATACATTAATCTTATTGTGCGTATGTGAGAATAACTTTCCTTTCTTTATCTTTAACATGATTTTTTCTTTATGCTTACAAGCTCTATGCCTTGTGTCTATATCAGACTTCAACATTGGAGAAAGAGGCTTACCCAGCTTTAGATGAGTTGACCTCTCAACTGAGCACACTCAATCTTGAACGTGTAAGACAGATCAAGAGTCGTTTGGTTGCACTTTCCGGTCGTGTGCAGAAGGTATATAATATTCATGGCAAAACACCTGTCCCCTGCATGAAAACTTCTCGACTTTATATATAAGAATTCTGGAAAATTAATCATCTTGTAGAGTACACAACTATGAGCTACTAAGGGTGTTATTATTCCTTCATTTGTAACCACTAAGCATTTACCATTGTTATTGGTATGTGTTACTCTATTAAATAGAGAACTAACTCATGTATTGTAAGGCAAAGTAATAGAATTCCTCTATGTCTTGTATTATTCCTTATTTTCAACTAGAATACTTTTGCTAAACCCCATGTGGATGCAGAGTTGGACGATTCAGGGGTAACAGTTTATTCATGGGATCCCTTTTTCCATTTTTAGGATTCCATAATATTTTGTATTCACTAATCTAGCACGCTTGTGCAAATTGGATTATAGTATTATCTACTAACCGTGCCATTTCACTCTTCTTAAATAGATGCCAACATGTACCAAATCTAAGCAAGTCTTGAAGTTGTTCAATACCTCAAAGAATATGTAGTACCATTTTGTGTTTCACCGTGGCTTACAGTGCAGCCTTCTGCAAATGCTGATTGTTATGGATTTCATTTTGCAAATGCACTTGTGAGCAAGTGTTCTGGTTCCATTACCCTGTTTTGTTCTCAATTCAATTTACTCAATAAATTCTCCACTAAGAAAATGAAGAGTTGGCTGGTCTTGCAAGTTTAATCTAGAAGAAATTAAGAAAACATTTTGTTGCTTCTGTGTTGTTGTCAAGGATATTTCTTGTTAGAACATAAAGTCTATATTGTGATTTGTGAACATGAAAATGTGAAATCCCAAAAAGAATCAAGATGATTAGATATGTGGGTTCTTAATTTTAGTTCGAATTTACTATATGAGCATATTTTTGCACCAAAATGGACAACATGCCTGGGGATATTTTGATTAATTGTTTAATAAATTTATGTTGTTCTCACAAAAATAAAATTTTCGACGTTACAAACAATTTTAATTACATAAGGGAGTTGGCATCGTCTAATCGATTACACTTGAAAGTAAAGGGTTATATTCATATATCAAACAGAGCCTATGCCGCGTGCGTCTTAAGTTTTGAATTGCAGAATGACTACGAAAGTTTTGAATCTCCAATCTCCATTAATCATTATTCCACTATTACAAGCGGCTTCGCATGCAAGGGAAACTAGAAAATCCCGGGTACAAAATAACAATCTTGCCACTTTCGAAAGTTCAATCATACATTGGCTGGGAGTAGAAACCGAAATACATAACACAGAAGGAAGCCAGAACTCTCCAGACTAGGGAAACTTTTTCACCTTTGATAGTCATAGTGCCTCACAAGATAAATCAGAACCCTAAATTCTATGCCCAGTTGGTCAATCACACTGCAGCAGCAGGAACGTTAGATTCCACTGACTTCAGTATCTCCTCACCAAGCTGTTTGCATCCTACCAGCTTCTGCATGAACACACAAACCAAACATCGAGTTTATTCAGCAAAAATAATTCCAAAAGACTTTCAATACGCCCATTATTCACTATGTGAGGGACTATGAATCACAAGGGGAAAATGTGGTAGAATATGGTAAACTCATAGTTCCATGAACTTTTTTCTGTAGCCTCCCATGGTAATTAATCGGAGTAAAAATAATATGAAGTGTGTTAGAAAAAGAACTTAAGACCTCTCAACATTGTTAAGTAGATGAAAGAGATGCTTACTGTTCCAGCAGAATAAATGTCAGCAGTTCGAAATCCCCTGTTCAAGGTGTCCAGCACTGCATTCTCTATTCTTCCAGCTGCCTTGTCTTCTCCTAGGCCATATCTCAAAAGCATAGCAGCACTAAGAACAGTAGCAAATGGATTTGCCTTGTCCTGTATATAAATGATTGAGTTGTTGTTACTTGTTAGGCATGTAGATCAAAGCAAATGAGAAAAACGGAAGTACAAGAAACCAACGAACCTGTCCGGCAATATCAGGTGCAGAACCATGTATTGGTTCGAAGAGTCCAGGTCCCTGGTCCAGTAAAAATCCAATACTCAAAAGTGAAATCGATAATGTTACTTGCCCTCAACATAGTACAAAGCATTACAGGATAAACTTGAGAAACATGCTCGTGATTTATATCATACTTAAAGTTTTTTTTCATACCGAATCCCCAAGGCTAGCAGAAGGAAGCATCCCAATACTTCCGGTGATCATTGAAGCCTCATCTGACAATATATCGCCAAAAATGTTGTTTGTCACAATGGTGTCAAACTGCAAAATTCAGAATTAGATGTTGCGACATTTGCATTTTCACCATCAAACAATTTATCTTTTGTGGCTATGTATTTGCATAGCCATAAATAAATTGAAAGACAAATTGCACTAGTTTATTCCTGCAGACCTGTTTGGGATTGCGAATTAGTTGCATAGAGGCATTATCAACATACATGTGAGAAAGCTCAACATCAGGATATTCTTGTGCTATTGCCAAAACTCTCTTCCTCCAGAACATTGATGCCTGAAGAATTCAAATATAATGAGTATGCAGGAACTGGACCAAAATCTGTCACTAAAATCTTTTTCATTTCCACAAGTAAGCAAAACATGCACAAATTTTAATCATTAAGTGAATGTGAAAATTCAATATAAAAGGCTAGTTGCATCTGCAAAGACCTCCATACAATTTCCTTTGGTTAATTCTTTAAGATACTCCAAGACAAACTAAAACCTATCACAGCATATTTAAACCTAATCAACAACAATATCCCTGAAGTATAAGCAAGACATCACAATGATTTTCGTCCAACATTGATAAGTTTTCATTGAATTGACGGCACTGGCTAACTAATAATATAAAGATCAGTAAGAATCAGTAGAAAAATGAATCCAAGATATATTCCCTGCATTGGTTAGTTATGAATGGAATCCTCATATATGATTTTAGACAAGCAAAGCAATACAAATTATATCGTTTTAAATCTATCACATTATGCTTTAGAAAAGAAGCCACCAGATCTCGGACAGAGTGACTATCAAGTTACAAAAAATAGATACAAAATCTGAGTTAACAGCTATTATGTTTCCAAGCTTATAAACTATTTACAAATGTAGGTCAATAGAAATTTGCATTTTTGGTGAAATATAAAAATATTAACAAAAAGAATGTAACCACGTTTTATACTGAAGTTGTCTTAGAAGATATTTGAAACACCTAATCTAAACAGAATCTTAAACAATACAAAACAAGTGAGGCATTTCCTAGCAGCATGATTGAATCTTCCAATTTCAAGTTTAAGCAATTTGAGGCATGCAACTCAATTCTAAAATTGGAAAATTTAAGTGTAGATCAGCACTAATATTCTCAACTTATCAAACAACTAACAAGATCATATTCAGTTGGAAGGCATCTGCAATGATCTTTTTTTTTTTTCCTGTACCTGAATAAGTTTTGTGGGTTAATCCAACAATACATACCTCTAGTACATTGGCTTTGTCAACAGAGCAAAGTTTCCCACTACGCTTTTGAGCAATCTTAAATGCAACATGAGCTATGCGATCAATCTGGTATACAAATTATTATTGATCAGAGAATCATACATCCAGAGATAATACAGAAATTAGTTAAAGATACAGCCCCAGCATAAAACAAAAAAGTCTCTTCAGAGGGAAAGAAAAAGTGAAAAAGTACAGTTCCGAATCCTTCCTCCTAGACAATGTGTTATGAACCTAGACTAGAAATGGTTTAAAGAAAAAGATTCTATTGAGTTGAATGAATTGACACAACAAAGGAGGGATATCTCTCCTCCAATGATTTCCTCTTTGCAAAAGATGTCTCCTTCCACATATAACAGCTCAATTCTGAAATGATACAAGACTGAATGAATCCCTCTATATACTTACCTAATGTGTTAACCAACTAATTGATACCCTAACTGTCTTAACTAACTTCCCCTTCCATCTCTCCTAACTCCTCCTAACACAACGTTACCTGTTTCAACTAAAGATCTTAAGAAAATCCCAGCTCCTGCAACTAAAATTTTGAGTCAAATTAGAGATATTTTTCAATTTTCATAACTAGTCATTAGTCGATCAAATCATTTGGAATGATTGTACAACAAGAAACACCACACAAATTCTCTTTCCCAGAAATATTCAACCAACTTCTTCAACCTTCATTAATCTGTTGTAAACTTGTAATTCATATACTTTTATAGCTCACGAGTTGGACATACATTATTTATCTATAAAACCCTTTTATAATAGTAAGATACCTCATGTGCAGCATAAATCTCAGTATTGTAGCCAATCTCTTCACCATTTTCATTGGTGCCAAAGCCCCTGGGTTTTCCAAAATAGATACCTAAACAACAACAGAACGCCAACAAGACTTAGCCCAGTGAATTAGCAGCACATGGCCACAGTTAAAGAAAATGGATGAAGAATTAACATTTCAAAATTTCACTATCATAGGAACATTAGGAAAGCAGAACACCACAGACCTCCAGTGAGTTCCCTCACAACCATGAGATCGACCCCTTCAGCAATCTCTCTCTTCAAAGTTGAAGCATCCACTAACTGCAGAAGAATTAACACAACTAAAATCACACAAGAGAAAATGTATTTCAGTTTGCCCTCAACTGTATTTCAGTTTCACCATCACGAATGAGAAAATGCAGTACGAATAAATTGTTACCTGAGGAAATACAGTAGCCGGTCTCAGATTTGCAAACACTCGAAGCCCTTGCCGAATCTGAAGTAAACCAGTCTCTGGCTTGAGATGTTTCTCGTTTATATCCCATTTATAACTTCAAGTAATTTAAATAATAAAAACAATGAGCAGGTATAAACTATAAAGTAAGGATAAAACTTACATTGAATACATATCATTATCCTATCAAAATTAGAATTTCACCTTAATAATATATAATAAATAATTCAATTATCATTGAGATAAACTCCAATTTCGATTGGAAAATTGCATCATTAGTACTTATGATAATGTATACAAGGATAAAACTTACATACAATGAGAATTGGAATTTCATTTTAATAATATGCATAATAAATGATTCAATTGCATGTTATTTTGATAAAATTCCGATTCTGATCGAAAAACAAGAACTTAGTACTTATGATAGTATATCGGACAAGTAAAAAAAACAAAATGCTAAAATGGTAAAGAATGAAAGTAAAGTAGCCACCCTCCAATGGCACCAAGCAGAACAGCATCGGATTGCTTAGCGACAGAAAGGGTTTCCTCAGGTAATGGAACTCCCGTGGCATCCAACGCAGCTCCACCCAGAAGCATCTCTCGGAAGTCGTATTTGATCCCTGGTTCAGCAAGCACGCAATTGAAATTGAAAATGAAAATGTTGCGATTATGAAAAGAGCGAGAGAGAGAGGGTTACCTTCGAGGGAACCGGCGAGGAGAAGAACGTCTTTGGCGACAGAGATGACTTCGGGGCCGATGCCGTCGCCTGGGAGGAGAGTGATAGTGTAGCGGCGGGGCGACTTGGAAGGAGGGGGCGCGGCGGAACACCTGAGAGGAGTTGACCTTGGGCAGGAGAATGAGTGAAAGGGTCTCGCGAGTTTGCAGTGGAGCAGTTGCAGAGAAGCCGCCATGTGTTGTTCGTCTTGATTTGAAACAACTTGGCCTTTGCCTCACGCTCTTCAGAGTTCAGACTTCAGACTTCAGACTTCTATCTATCTCTCTCTCTTTCATTTAAATAACAAGTGCAGCACAACACAACACGTGCTATTGCTATTGCTATTGCTATTGCATATTAAAAGATAGAAAACTCATCAAGTGGGTCACGCATTGAGCTCCGAATGAAAATGCGTCGGTTGATTTCCATTTCACATTCAAGTTCAACTCTCCGTGGACCCTCTCAACTTGTCCAATGCTATCTCTCCACAACCACAATCCCCGACGACACCACCGTCCGCCAAACCCTACTCTCTTTCAGCAACGACTGGAAGCGCGCCCTCGACTTCTTCAATTGGCTCGAGCACGAGCACGAGCACGAGCACTTCCGCCACTCCACCGACACCTTCAACCTCATGCTCGACATCCTCGGCAAGTCCTTCGAGTTCGACCTCTGTTGGGACCTCATTCGCCGCATGCACGCTCCAAACCACACCACCTTCCGCGTCATGTTCAAGCGCTACGTCTCCGCTCACGCCGTCAACGACGCCATCAACACCTTCCACCGCCTCCACGACTTCCACCTCAAGGACCACACCTCCTTCTCCCACCTCATCGACGCGCTCTGCGAGTACAAGCACGTACTCGAGGCACAGGAATTACTCTTCGGAAACAACAACAACAACATCGACATCGACATCGACATCGACATCGACATCGACGCTATCGGGAACACCAAGATCCACAACATGGTGCTCCGCGGCTGGTTCAAATTAGGGTGGTGGAGCAAGTGCAACGAGTTCTGGGAGGAGATGGATAGAAAAGGGGTTCGGAAGGACCTACACTCTTATTCAATTTACATGGATATCTTATGCAAAGGTGGAAAGCCTTGGAAGGCTGTGAAACTCTTCAAGGAGGTTAAGAGGAAGGGTTTCAAATTGGACGTGGTGGTGTACAACATTGTCATTCGAGCCATTGGTATTTCCCAAGGGGTTGATTTCTCGATTAGGGTTTTCCGTGAAATGAAGGAGGAGGGTATTAGCCCCACTGTTGTCACTTACAACACCTTGATTAGGCTTTTGTGTGATTGCTATAGGCACAAGGAGGCGCTTGCTTTGCTTCGAACCATGCGTCACGATGGTTGCCACCCCACTGCCATTTCTTACCATTGCTTTTTTGCCTCCATGGAGAAGCCTAAACAGATACTTGTTATGTTTGATGACATGATTCAGAGTGGGGTTAGGCCCTGTATGGACACCTATGTCATGCTCCTGAACAAGTTTGGGAGGTGGGGGTTTCTTCGTCCCGTTTTTATAGTGTGGAATAGAATGGAACAACTTGGGTGTAGTCCTGATGCTGCTGCCTATAATGCCTTGATAGATGCTCTTGTGGACAAGGGCTTGATAGATATGGCTAGGAAGTATGATGAAGAGATGTTGGTGAAAGGACTTTCACCAAAGCCAAGGAAAGAGTTGGGGACGAAAGTGTTGGGAGGAGAATTAGCTGATGATTAGGTTTTATGTAAGTTCCATACAGATGATAGATATTATTGTGCCCTGCGTAGAAAAGCATGTGCTGGGAAATCTTTACATGTAGATCACTTTGCTCATCAACATCATCAGTTAAGAAATAATCACTTTTTCAATCCTAACACAGTTTTTCTTCATTTTAGCTAACAAATCAGTTTCCCCCTCTAACACCTTGCTTTTGTTCTTTCTGCTTCCATTGTCCAGTTTGCCAACATTTTCAATTCTTTTAGTAGATCAACATAGTATTGGCATAAAATCGTCACATCAACAATGATTGTAGGATCATCCTGATAGCAGTTGTTGACTCTGTATATGCCATTGGGAAATTATTATCTTCACTTCACACATTTCATGACACATGATAATTCTTGACCTCAAACTCAGTCCATTTCTTCTCCTTCTAGTTTTTGTTCTTGCTTTGTGGACCTTTTTTCTTTCTTTTTGTAATGCTGTGCTGATTTGAACAGGTTGGGATAATATGTAGAAAGGTGTAATTTCACCCTCTCTGATTACAAGGATTCAGACTCACAATTCTGCTAGTTCAATATAGAAGTATGCAGAAAGGTGTAATTTCGTGTTCTCATTTAGATGGTGAAATATATCTAGAGTCTATATATCAAATGCAATGTGTATTTCATACTATTGGTAATCAACCAACTAAATTTGAGATTTTTATGCCTGAAAAAAAAAAAAAAACTTAATGCAACGAGGCAAAGGGAAAGGAATAATCGTATGGTGGGATATTTGAACTGATGTGCACAATATACTTTTATTTCATGAAAGTGCAAGTTATATGCAGCTACCAGTATTTTGTACATATATCAAAGGAGAAAACATAGTTTATAACTTTGATTATGATGTTTCAGTACATTTTTGCTGGATCTGGTCAAATTTTGAGATACGAATTACTGAATTAGATTTCCTTCTTTGTTATTAATTGGATCAATTTAATAGGTAAACATTCATTTTGAAGATTCAACGATACTGAATCATTTAGTAAAATAATAGCAATCACAACCAATCAAAAGAAACAACTGTAGTAGTAGTAGAATGCAATGATAAACATATATTAGTGGTTAGGCGCATAGGCTGGTTCATGTTTTGACTTATTAGTCTTTAATTCTTTTGATTAATAATTTGTCTCGTTTTTACAATTAACTATTGTCCTCCCCATTTATGAACAATAATCATTATAGAACCTACTGTTATGCGCAACTCCTGTAACACAGGTCTTGGATTGTTGACCTGGACATCAACTGGATTCATTATATAATGACTTGAATTTTGCATGCTCTGGATAGCTATTGACATTCATTCGAGCAAAATGATTTGTCCCATATTAGGTTTTAAAATTATTCTGAAGTTTGCATTGTGAGGATTAGGAAATCACTTTATAATTTATGGATTTGCTCTACACAACCTTTGATTGCTGATAAGCAATTTGTGTCTTATATGTCACGCCAATCATTCCCTTTTGGAAGAAATCAGGGAGGTTAATCAGCGACTTATTGACACAGTGACACAGTTGTAGACATAAGTAATGAAGAAGTTGATCCAACGGCAGCTGCTGCTGCTGAAGGAACAGAAGGGACCATTGTCAAATGTTCTTTCAATGCTGTGGCTCTCAGTCCGAGCTTAAAATCCGAGTATGCTTCAGCGCAAATGGTGGGCTTAAAACCCTTAACTATATGCATACATATAAAGTATATAGTAATCAAATAAGATAAGTTCAGAAGTGCTTCTTCAATGAATTTTCATCTAACAAATAAAGTTTGAATAACTTTTCAAATTTTGTATGAGAATTGGTGAGAGAAAAATAAAATAAAGATAAAGATAACAAATTGTTGAATCTTGTGATTTATATTGATATATAAAGTCATTTGAGATTCATTTTATCATATGTAAGAATAGGTAGCCAAATCTTATCAAATTGTAGAGTTCAATCCGTGAATCGTAAGATTTTTATAAAATAAAGTTAATAACTGTTATTTTTCAGTCTACAGTTGAAAGAATTGCACAAAGCTGCTACCATAGGTCTGTTAGTTGGGTCCCTATCACTATCTCATGTCTAACTAGAATTATGATATTATTTAAAACATGATCTGAATATTGTTAAAAAAATTCTGCAAATCACTTAAGTTTCAGTCCACAAAGACTCTGTTTGCTCTATGAAGAACATGAGCTTCTGAAAGTGATTCCTGCTACTTACTTCACATCTCTATAAGGTGCCAATAAAGAAGCCCATGTGAATATCCCATATGATTATGGTTCGTGCATCGTGCACACAAGTTCTTAAAGATGGATTTGTTGGGAACTTCTGATCCTTATGTTACGCTAAGCCTGATTAGCGACAAACATGAAGTAAAGAAAACGACTGTCAAGAAGTTATGCAATATCAGTTCTGATTTTTATCGCTGATTCTGTGTATTGTTCAACAGGTATGGTTTTATTAAAGTTGTTTAATGTCCTGGTTTTTTTTTTTTTTTTTTGTGTTGCCTTTCATATAAACTTTTCTCTAACTGCACAAATACATGGCTCAAATATCTATCTCCATGTTGTTATCTGTTTAGAGTTTAAGTTACTTGTTCTAGTTTCAATCCTCTTGTGTGTACATCTATACCCTTTTCTTTTATACATACATGATGTAATATTGTTGATGTTTCAGGGAACTTTACGGGAAGAATAGCACTACATACCAGTTAGTAAAACTAGATTCCTTTGACCAGCCGACAGTGATGCTTTTGTTTTTGGATTATTAAGACTTTGTAAAACTTGTTTCTTTATGTGACTAATTAATTATATTTAATTGATTAGATTCCAATATCTCTTTTCATTTGATTATTTTGTATATTTACTTTGTTTGCGGTAAAATTAATAGATATTTCAATTGAGTGACAGATAAAAAAAGGGCCATAAAATATAACTCAAAGCTCAGATAGAACAACGATATTAAAAACAGGCCGGGTCAATCGAGGTATAGATCGATGAGTTATGGTTGAATTAGTCACTGACTCACTGGTTGAACATGCATTGATAAGGAGAAGGTATTGTCGATTAAATATAGCAGAAATGTTATTTTTCGCACACGTATACTAACTTAAAATTGTAGTGTAGTGGTAGGAAGTAAATCTAACCATGCAAAGACCCTATTTTGGATACTTTCTCCTGCTTATTTTATATTTTCTTGAAAATAACTTGGGACCTACGCCTAAGTACAACAACTTTACATCCTGGCCAGCCCAAATCTGATTAATAATGTCACTATTGACTTAATAACATTTTGAATCCAATAAGTCGGTCAATCTGGTGATAAGTTCGGTTCTCTGTCACTAAGTTTGAGTGATATCACACTCCATAATCCTACATGGAAAGGCAATAAAAAACTTTCCAAAGTGACCCCTCCCGGTTCCTCCACAACTAGCAACCAAACCTATTCTCCTGATTAACACTTAAGAGCACTTCCAATGAGTTGTTTATAAGCAATCTCACTTGTCACATCAACTTAAAAAAGAGCAATTGAGTTGCTTAAAATTTATCAAAATTACTTAGAGTATTTGTAATGGGGTTGCTTATACCCCTGTGTCACATCACTACCAAATCAGCCCTGACCCACTTTATAGATTGCTTAAATTTTAGCTGAGTTGCTTGTAGAGCATCTGCAATGGGGGTTAAGCAACCCCCTGTGCCACATCATTGCCAAATCAGCTCTGACTCACTTTATGTGTTACTTAAATTTTAGCAGTTACATCCATAATACTTAAATTTAAAACTTTATTTAAAGAAATTAAATTCAGTTCTATTTGAATCATAGAATTGTTAATTAAAAATTATTTATAAAAATATAAACTTAATTATTAATTTAAAAAAAATAATTAATTTTAACACACTACCACAACGTAGATTGTGATTGCAAGTGTTATTATATTAACTTGAATTATTATAATTTAATACAAAACATCAATGAAATGAAGAAAAATTTAATACTTTAAATTTTTTACCTTTAACTGATATAATTATTAATGTAATGTGTTAGGTCATATTTATTTATAATAATATTTTTTTATGAATAGCAAAAGATTCATGACACTTAATCAATGGATCATAGATCGAATTATGATTTTTATAAATATATTAAAAAAAATGTAAATTAGGAAGGAATGTCTGTTACGTGTGAAATGCATTTAAAAGTAAACATACCTTATAATAATAATAACAATAAATAAAACTCAAATATTGAACTCCAATAACTATATTCAAATAATTATCAATTTATTCTTTAAAGAAATATAAATTTCATTTGAAAAAATAATGATTAAGAACAAGTATTAGAAAAATTATTATTAAAATTCAAAGATAAAATTGTGTCCAATTTTGGAGAACAACGGATTAAGAGGAGGTGTTACTCTATACAGGAATAAAAATGAGGGAATGGATATGAATACTTTGTTTAATATTGCAATTTTCTTCTTTGCTAATTAAAAATTAATCACCAGATAACAGCTTAGGTTTTCCCCTGCCGTTGCTATTTTGTTCTTCGTTAGAGAGTTATTAATTTTTTATGCATCCTACGTATAAGCTTGGTAAATTGGCATTCTAAGTCGTATAAACCTTTTCTGGTGAGGAAAAAAATATTTGGTTCGTTTAGCTGTTGCTGTGACTACAATTCATGGATGGGCGGTTGGTTTGGCTATGTGAAAACCGATGATTTCTGTGGATTATGTTTTTATCATTTTGGTTCTTTTATATTCATCATTTGTTCGTTCCTTTCAGAATCTGATTTGACAAGAATATTCTGTTTTTGGTGTTTCAGTTTATTAAAATTTGATGGATACCAATAATTGGAGACCTAATCAGGGTACTGAAGCCAATATGGATAATAGTGATTGGAGAAGCCAAAGAATTGTCAACAAATTGTAAGATTCAGTTTTAATATTGTAGTACTGATATCGTTTGTAATTTTTAACTCCACATCAGATATAAATCACTGATTCCGTAGTTTGACAATGTTTCCATGACCATGAGGATTATGGTCTTCTATTCTCCAAGAAATGAAAAAGGAATGTATTTGATAGGAAAAAATAAATAACTAAATTAGTTCTTTTTTCCTCCAAACATGTATTTTTTTTTAATCACTGCTGAAAATTGATTTTATTTTTTTTTCATATCACATTCAAAGTGTATGCATGAATGAGCTTTAGCACATCAGTGTTGCACATATTATTAGATGGGGGAGTGGGATGTTATCATACTTGTGTATTAAACACCAAGTCATTGACATATATCATACATGAGGCACTTGATTATTCATGTTCTTCATGGAATTTGTGGTAAATGGATGTTTACCGGAAATTTATATACTAATGGTAAGATGTCTTTTTCTTATATTTTATATCTAGAGAGGACTTTCTAAGAAGTTACCAAAACAGTCTCTGCTGTGTGCAATCCATTTCTGACACCCATTCTTCTGTACTCTTTTTTTTTTTTAATATATCTTGATGATTTAAACATTCTTGTACCATTTGAGGATTGTCTAATGACCATAAAATTTCAATAATGTATTATTTAGTTATTAAAGTGCTGTCTTTCATTTTTATAGAATGGACACATTAAAAAGACATTTTCCTGTTTCTGGGCAAGAGGGATTGCATGAACTTCGGAAGATTGCTCAAAGGTTTGAAGAGAAAATTTTTACTGCTGCAACAACCCAGGTACATATCGAATTTCAGATTTGTCGATTTATGATTTTGTATGCAAACATATACAATCTGAAAGATTGATTATTTAATGTGGTATTCCCTAATTCCAGGCTGATTATGTACGGAAAATATCTCCGAAGATGCTTGCAGCGGAGACTAACGCCCAAGGCACCGTGGCCCCCAACATACGTCCAAATATGTGATTGTGATTGCAAGTGTTATTGTATTAACTCAAATTATTATAATTTAAGATAAAACATCAATGATATGGATAAAATTGTAATATTTAAAATTTTTTACCATCAATCGACATAATTATTAATTTAATGCCTTAGGTCATATATGTTTATAATAAATTTTTTTATGAGTGGCAAAAAAATTCATGGCACTTAATCAAGGGTTCATAGATCGAATTATGATTTTTGTAAATATATAATTAAAAAAATGTAAATTGAAAAGGGATGTCTGTTACTTGTAAAATGTATTTAAAAGCAAACATACCTTGTTACAGTAATAACAATGAATAAAATTTAAATTTTGAACTCTAATGACTATGTTCAAACAATTATCAACTTACTCTTTAAAGAAATATAAATTCTATTTGAAAGAATAATGATTAAGAACAAGTATTACAAAAATTATTGAAATTCAGAGGTAAAATTGTGTCTTATTGTTCCCGAATCTTCCAACAATAATATTCATAAATTAACAAGTAATGTTAGAGTTTTACTTCTAAAATTGTTAACAACTCTAATGTCACATCACATGAAGCTAACAGTCTTTATCTTTAAAAAATTTAAATTGATCATAAGAGATTTATTTATAAAGCAAAGCATATGTGTGCATAAACAAATAAAATAATTAATTGAATTGTTAATTAAGAAAATGGTCAATTTTTAAATTAAATTATCTTATGTTTCTATTAATTAAAAAAGTTTGATCGTGCACTTCTAATTTACTAAGATAAGAAATAATATTATAAAATAATTAGACAATTAACAAAATCATATCATGAATTCATGATTGGAGGCTTACAATGAATAATTATATCACAACTCTAGAATGAAAGAACTAGTTACACATGTTACTAAAACCCAATAAACAAAGGAAAATATTTAATCATGTTATGAAAAATTCTTCTTCAAGGATTTGGCCTTTAACTTCTTATAGAAACTCAATAACAAATAAAAAAGAATATAAACTAAAGCTATGAACTAGGAAAAAAAAACTAGATAAAAAATTAGATGTCCTTGATGTAATCTAGACATCCCTATTTATACTAAAAATCAAGACTGACTCTTGAAACACAACTGGGCATATTAAAGAGTTCAATTATGCTTAATATATTGGACTTAAGCTTGTTTCATCATACAAAAGGACATATCTATTTAAGGGTGATAGGATGTGCTTAAATTTTTTAAAAGAAGCACGGCAGTACATATTGATAAGCATTGTATTACTTCATAACATGGTCATCAAGAAGTTAAGCATGACCATGCTTGTCTCCGGCCTCTATAATTGCTTTATTTTACTCCTTAATTAAACTAATTTCATTTTTTTTGTATTTTTTTCTTTGTTGCAAACTTGATAAAAAAAAGTGAAGTATTATCAAAGATTTAACATTAAATTAAGACAAAACAACATTAATTACTATGTTCTTATATAACAATTTAATGGTTTAACAATGTCCACCTACTTGCTACTCGTCAAACTTTTGAGAGAGGTTTTTTAGTGTTTAACAATGAATATACTTTCACAATTAAAAAAAATATTGCTTACAGTAATTTTTTTCAAAGTCCTTTTGATACTTTTCAAAGAGATTATTAAATGCAAAAATAATTATAGTTTTTTTCATAAATATTTTTTTGAAAAACAATTTTTTTAAGACATGATTGGCTATTAAATACAAGTGCATTATTCAACAAAGATTCAAATGTTAGTTTGGTACATTATAACATATTAACCGATTTGGCTTAGAAAATTTAAAATAAAAGCTTAATTGTGTTTTTAATCTTTTAAATATTGTAATTATACAATCTCGATCTTTATAGTAAAAAATTTCAAAACTTTAATCAAACAATTTTAGTCTCTCAGGCATCACAATTGTGAAATTTTGATCCCTCAAAATTTAACTAAGCAATTTTAATCTTAGGGGGCATTTGATAGGGGATAAAATTTTTCATGCCAAAAAGTTAAAATTCCAAAGAATTACAGATCTTAAAAATGCCAAAAAGTTATAATTCCAAAGAATTACAAATCTTAAAAATCTTTATTATTGGGAATAACTATAATTTGTTTGGTTATTTATAAAAGTTCCTAAAAATATTTATATAAGATTACTAAGAATTAAATATTTTTATACTTGGTTACAATAATATATTCGAGATATATAAATATTTTTTATAAAAATATTTTTTATTAAAATAATTTTATTAGATATATCTATTTACTTACATCTTATTGCAAATATAACATTAAACTTTTTTTTATGATCTAATTATTTTTCAAAGATAATAAAAAATTAATCATATATATAAACAATTTTGTTATATAACAATATTTGTATTTGGTGAAACTTAAATTATTTTAAAAAGTTAAAAATTTATAGTTAAAATTATTTAAACACAAAATTTAACAAAAAAAAAGTTGTTACCTTATAATTAAGAATGATAAAAACCTATTATTTTATTTCATTCAAAAAATAATAATAATAAGTTAACAAATACCATTAAACTGTAAAAATAAAACAAATTTTAATAATATAATTAAAATTGGCAAAATCAAAAAATAATAAGATACAAGAAAAAGAGAAATAGAAATATGGGATAATGGGAGGGAGAGATAGAGGCGGGAGGGAGAGAGAACGGGAGAGAGAGAGATAGGGGGAGAAAGAGAAGTAAAATGAAAGTATTATTTTGTAAATATGAAATTAAACTATATATTTTTTTATTTTAAAAATAAATGTTATGGTCTTTTACATAATTAAAACTTTCTCTCTTAATAGAGAAAGTTAGATTCTCAACCCCTCATAAAATGTTTTGTGAAAAAAATGAGATAAAAATGATTTACAAAGAACAATATTTCCTTAATTTTTTTAAAATAGACATTAAACATGTGAAACTAATATTTTTTAATCTAAGATTCTTAAGAACTTAAAAACTTTTCCATTACCAAACGTTTTCTTAAAATATCACAATTGTATAATTTTAATCTCTCAAATATCATAATTATATAATTTTTAAACTATTTCATTACATATATTATACTTTTCATTCATGTGTTAGATGATAAATATTCTTCATTACTAAAAATAATAAAATATGTAATTTAAATAGATAAAAATATATATAATTATAATATTTAAACAATTAAAATCATACAGTTATAATACTTAAAAGAACTATTTTTTCTAATTAAAATTTAAGAGACTAAAATCATACAATTGTGATTCTTAAGGAAAAAAAACATATTTAAGATATAAAAAAATCAATATTTTCTTCAATTAGTAAATAAAAAAAAAAAAAGGAATGCTGTATTCTTTTGGCACTAACCAACATTTTGTTTTAACGAATACAATGATATTTGAGGCGGATAAACCCACAATAGAGGATGGAAAATATATATTTATGTAATTTATGGGTGGTAAAATTAACATACTTTAAAAAGCTTCCTGATAAATAGAATTAAATTACTTTTGCAATTTATTTTTATCTTATTTTTTAACCAGTCCGGCAAAAGAAAACTAGTCAAAATGATAACTATATTTTCATAAATTAACTATTAATTAACGTAATAACTTGAGTTCTATACTGCTGTTGAGTTGATATATTATTATACCAATATGATTTTTAATTAATTTAAATTTTATATAAGGATATATTATATAAATATGTAATAATAATAATAATAACAATAATAAATATATACGCAAATTTAAATAATTTTATATTATTTTATATCTTGTATAATTATGATATATGTTTTATATATTTAAAAAAAATGTTTTATATAATCAAACAACTTTTATAAACATTTTTTTATATAATATTTGATATCATATATTGGATAATAAATTCATGAAGAAAGGTGAATGAAGTGATTAATGAATTAGTCAAAAACGGATTTGAGTTTGTCATAGGTGTTCAAGTCTTTAATTTTCCTTCAATAGGAATAGTTTTATCGACAAATATTTTTATTGCGTATTTTTTTTCTTCATATTTTTAGTTTGAGTGTTTAATTTCTTATTCACAAAATAAAAAAACTAAAAAAAAAAAAGATGAATCATCAATCAACTCAAAATGAATATTAGTTTAAAGTATAGTCTATACAGATATTTAGTTGACTTGTATGTAGAAGCGGAATAAAAAATTTGGCTTAAGGGTTGCCAAGAATTTTCTTTTATTAATTTTTTTAATACTTACATGTAAATATTCAAATATTATAAATAATTTCTTAATTTTTTTTCATCTTTTTTTTTATTACATATTATATATATATATATATATATATATATTCCTAATTATAAACTAATATGATAATTTTTATCAATTTATTTATAATATTTTTTTTTATAAATTTTAGGGATCACGAAATTATTCTCATATGGTGCATTAAATTTTGTCAAGCTGCATAAAACGAATTAAATAATTATAAATAAAATAATATTGTTGATAAAAGTAACATTAATTTAATTATACCTTGTCATCCATCATGATCACTTCAATGAAATATTTTTGCTTTGTTATCTAAAGTTTGAAAATCTTCTAAATAGACGAAGAATTATAAATCGTAACTTCCATATAATCAATTAAATATTTACAACATTTTAAATATATCACAATTAATTAAATATATAAATTTATTCATTATTCGAATCACTTACTAGCAGTCCATGTAATACATATTTTAAATATTTATTATATATAATTAGATTTAATATTTATTATATATAATTAAATTTTATGACAAAATATATATAAATAAGATATTTGATTACTTTTTTTTTACGTAGAAATAATAGATTTGATTCCTTTATCTTTATATAGATATATGATATTTGATTTATTATATTTCAAAATTTTAGGAGATGATTGGGGAATATAATTTATTATATCATTAATAATTATGTAAATATAAGATATTTGATTTACTATATCTTATAAAATTTTAGGAGATAATTAGAGAGATATATTTTACTATATGATTATTAATATGATATCCTTTAAAAAAATATTAACATGAAGTGACTATAATTTTATTTA